CAACAGCTCAATCACTCGGCTCTCAGCCCTGAATAATCATACTCAATAGGTACCTGTGCTCACTGGGGGTGTGCAAACTCCGGAGGGACTCCTTCAGCCCAAGTGCTATATTGATGCGGCGTGAAGCTGGATCCAATACATAAACATCCATAAGGCTCGTTGCGGCGTGAAACCCGATCCAATATAGATAATTAGCCTGAACGCTCGTTGCGACGTGCAACCCGAGCCAATATATATACATATCTAGCCCTGAGGCTCGTTGCGGCGTGCAACCCGATCTATATACATTCATATAGCTCACAGCTCGGCACTCAAGCCCTATCTCAGTCACCAACCTCACCAGACCCTCGGGCTCTCAGAAAGCATAGAATTCAGCCAAAACAGAGATGATAACATGTATCAATGACAGAGAACAAAATAGCAAATAGCAGTTAATTCGGCAAGTACATAACCTCACGGGTCTCAATAGTGACATCACAAAGCCTAACATGATTTCTAACATGAAGTGCAGTCGATTTCCATAAGAACAGAGGGAACACGTAGTAAACAGTAGGCTAACTAATTCTACAGTCTCACGAGACGGACCAAGTCACAATCCCTATGGTGCACGCCCACACGCCTGTCACCTAGCATGTGTGTCACCTCCAAAATAGTTATACGACACAATATGCAGGGTTTCATACCCTCAGGACCAGATTTACAACTGTTACTTACCTCAATTTGAGTAAAATCCTGCTCTGCGATGCCTTTGCCTCTCGAATCGGCCTCCAAACGTCCCGAATCTAGCCATAAGTAATAAAACACAATCAATATATGCCAAAGGAACCAATTCCACAAGAAAAACTACTAAATTGGACTCAAATTCCGAAATTGGGTCAAACTCGGCTCCAGGGCCCACTTCTCGAAATCCGATAAAAGTCTCAACACCCGAAAGCCCATTCACTCATGAGTCTAACCCTATGAAATTAATCAAAATCCGACATCATTAGGTCCCTCAAATCCCCAAATTAAACTCTCCAAAATCCCAAGACCTAACCCCCAAATTTCACTTTAAAACCGTACTAATTAGATGAGAAATCAACGGGAAAACACCATAGCTAAGGGTACTTAGGCTAAAGCGACTTATATCAGTGAAAATCCTTGAATCCCCTTCAAAAATCACCTCAAAATCTCCAAAGTCCGAGTTTAAAATGGTGGAAATGAGGAAAAATCACGAAGTCCTCTATTTATACATTCTGCCCAGTGAATCCATACCTGCAGTCCCATCACCGCATCTGCGGACCAAGCTTCGCTTCTACGGAAATCACTTATAATCCCTGGGACTGCTTCTGCACCTCTAGACCGCATTTGTGATCATCGCAGGTGCGGAAACTACCTCACACCTGCGGATTCCCTCTCGCACCTGCGTATGCCTGCCCACATCTGCGTCTCCCGCAGGTGCGAGAATGCCTTCGCACCTACGGTTCCTGCCAGGTCCTCCATGGCAGCATCTGCGGCTCCTCAATCGCTCTTGCGGGCTCGCACCTGCGACTCCAACTCCGCAGGTGCGGGAGACACTAGAACCAGCAGCTTTAGCTGCATTTTCCAAGTTCCAAACCTTTCGTTAACTACCCGGAATCACCCCAAGGCCCCCGAGACCTCAACCAAACATAGTGAAACGTCCCATAACATCATACGAACTTAGTCAAACCTTCGAATCGCTCAAAACAACATCAAAACACCAAATTACCCTCAGATTCAAGCCTAAGAACTTCTAAACTTCCAAATTTCGCAAATGACGCCGAAACTTATCAAACTACATCCGAATGACCTCAAATTATGCACACACATCACAAATGACACCACGAACCTACTCCAACTTCCGAAAATCATTCTGACTCTGATATCAGAATTTCCACTACCGAACAATTTGCCAAAATTCCAACTTTCGCCAATTCAAGCCTAATTCTACTACGGGCCTCCAAATCACATTCCGGCGCTCCTAGGTCCAATATCACCTAACGGGGCTAAAGGAACCATGAGAATTCAAGTCTGAGGTCGTTTACACATAAGTCAACATCCGGTCAACTTTCCCAACTTAAACCTTCTCACAAGATACTAAGCGTCTCAATTCACTCCAAAATCACTCCGGACCCGAGCCAACTAACCCTATAAGTCAAAATACAGCTGAAGAACACAATAAAAGCAGGAAACGGGGGAATGGGGCTATAACTCTCGAAACGATCAGTCGGGTCGTTACATCCTCCCCCTCTTAAATAAATGTTCGTCCTCAAACGGGTCTAGAAGCATACCTAGAGCCTCAAATAGGTGTGGGTATATGATCCACATCTCCCGCTCGATCTCCCAAGTAGCCTCCTCCACAGGCCGACCTCTCCACTGCACTTTTACTGGAGCTATATCCTTTGATCTCAACTTTCGGACCTGCCGCTCCAAAATAGTCATCGGCTCCACATCATAAGTGAAATCACCATCCAACTGAACCGTGCTGAAGTCCAAAACATGAGACGGATCGCCGATGTACTTCCGAAGCATAGAAACATGAAATACTGGATGCACACTCGATAATTTGGGCGGCAAAGCAAGCTCATAAGCCACCTCCCCAAACCCTCGAAGCACCTCAAACGGCCTAATAAACTGAGGGCTCAACTTGCCCTTCTTCCCAAATCTCATAACACCCTTCATGGGTGAAACTTTCAGCAATACCTTCTCCTCAACCATGTAAGACACATCACGGACCTTTCTGTCAGCATAACTCTTTTGTCTAGGTTGCACCGTGCGAAGCCGCTCCTGAATCAATTTCACCGCTACCAATGCATCCTAAACCAAGTCCCTACCTAAAAGCCTAGCCTCACCCGGCTCAAACCAACCCACTGGAGATCTACACCGCCTCCCATATAAAGCCTCATACGGAGCCATCTGAATACTCGATTGACAACTGTTGTTGTAAGCAAACTCTGCGAGTGGTAGAAACTGGTCCTATGAACCCCAAAATCAATAACACAAGAGCTTAGTATGTCCTCCAATATCTGAATGGTGCGCCCAGATAGTCCGTCCATCTGAGGGTGAAATGTTATGCTCAACTCAACCTTAGTGCCCAACTCTCGCTGCATGGCCCTCCAAAACTGTGATGTAAACTGCGTGCCTCTGTCTGAAATGATGGAAACTGGCACCCATGAAGGCGAACAATCTCTCTGATGTAAAACTCAGCCAACCGCTCTGAAGAATAGGTAGTGCTCACAGGAATGAAGTGCGCGGACTTGGTCAGCCGATCCACAATCACCCAAATAGCATTGAACTTCCTCAAAGTCCGTGGGAGCCCAAATACGAAATCCATTATGATCCACTCCCACTTCCACTCTAGAATCTCTTTCTGCTGAAGCAAGCCACCCGGCCTTTGATGCTCAGATTTCACCTGCTGACACTTGAGACATGATGTGTGGCTATAATTCATGGCTTAGCACATTATGTGCCTTGCATTTTACATGCTTCAATGATAAATTACACTTTATTTGTGCGTAATGGACTCTATTTTATGTGTAGGTGAATTGGAGATGAAAGTAGAGCTAAAGGGATACTAAAACGTTGATACTGTGCACGAGAACAGTGAAAAGGAGAGGCCAGGCAAAAGCCATCTCAACCACGCTTTAGCCTAGCAAGGCCAGCCAAAGGCCAGGCTGAACCAGGCTTTATCCTTGTGAGGCCAGCCAAAGGCCAGGCTGAACCAGGCTTTAGCCTAGCGAGGCCAGCCAAAGGCCAGGTCTAGTCCGAGTTTTGAAGACTTTATTTGGTTCCCAGCTTGACTAGGATTTGACCTACACGTTTAGGTCTTGTCCTAAACATATAAATAGACCCAAAAATGCCACTTTGAAGGGGGTTTTTGCGACCGGAGGCCAGAACATCACGTGGACAACTTTTGGAGGAGAACATCATAGAATTCTTCATTCCTTTTTCTTTTCTTTGTAATTTGTTTATGCAAAATACTTGGAAACTTGTTACTACGAACATGAGTGGCTAAGCACTCTACGTTCTAGGGTTGTGGTTGACATTATTATTAATGTTTATTAATTACATCTTCGTTAATTCGAATTATCATCTTGTGGTTGTTTCTTTAATTCTGTGCATAATTGCTTAATTGTCCGGCAGAGTTATTTAATATCTATGCTATGCTTGGGAAAGCTGTGTTTACACTAGAGTAGAATTAGAGAGAGCTTGTTTCTAAACCCGTGGCTCGGGGGAAGATTTCGCGGTTACGATAGGAATATACCTAACAGTCTTGCTGAATTGAATATCGTATTATGTTGGTTCAAGATAGACTCAATACCGTAGGAATATATGGTTGATATATTGTGTGCAGGCGAATAGCATAGCGGGAACATGCTATTCATATAAAAGATCTGGTTTATTAGCAACTATAGATAATCTGCATTAACGAGTGTGATTATTGAACTTAATAGGATTGATAAACCAACCATAATTCTGCAATTTTCATCTCCTCTGAAGTAGAATCTCGTCATACAAAATCTCATTCTTGATAATTTAGCTGTTATTTGTTTAATTTCCGCAATAGTAGATTAATTGAAAAATATCACTCTTAAATATCTTGGATAATTAATTGATTTTAGTTTACTTAGTTAACGATCAATCTAAGTCTCTGTGGGTTCGACATCCGACTTTCAGGTCACTTTATTACTTGACGACAACGTATACTTGCGTGTGTGTTAGGTCCAACAAGTTTTTGGCGCCGTTGTCGGGGCTTAGTTATTGATTGTTTAGTTCAGTTAAGCTATTATTCGTTATTTGTTCAAGTTTTAATTTTTAGTTTGCTTTATTTGTAATAACGCAGGCTCTTCTCTTGAATGCGGGGGAGTAGAAGTGCAAACAATCTCCTTCCTCTTGATCCTGAAATCGAGCGCACACTTCATAGAGTGAGGACGGAAGTTGAAGCTAGAACAAGAATTGAAAGAGAGTTGGACATCGTACTTCAACCACAGCCAATAGAGATGGCAGGTAATGAAGAGCGCCCTGTGATAGAAGCTGCAAGGCCCAATCTGGCTCTTATGACTCAGGCGATTGTGAAGCCTGACATCACGGGTCACTTTGAACTCAAACAGTACATGGTACAGCTGATTCAATCCATAGGGCAATATGTTGGCTTATCTCACGAAGACCCACAAAGGCACATTCAGAACCTCTTGGAAATTATAGACACTTATAATTATCTGAACGTTTCTAAGGACTACGTCAGGCTGACATTGTTTCCCTTTTCACTGCTGGGAGAAGCTAGGGAATGGTTGCAAAAGGAGCCCGCGAACTCAATCCACAATTGGGATGATCTAGCAAGTAAATTCTTAATCAAGTTTTTCCTACGAAGAAGACAAAGTCGCTGAGGAGCCAGATTATTGGGTTTCAACAACGAGATTGCGAGACTCTTCGATAGCTTGAGAAAGATACAAGAAGCTACTCAGAGACTGCCCACACCATTGTCAGACTGATGAGGCGTTGGGTCACACTTTCGTTGATGGGTTGGACGAAGCATCAAATATGAATCTTGACTCAGCATGTGGGGGTAGTTGCATGGCAAGACCGTATAGTGAGATCCAGATCCCGCTAAACGATTTCACTGCTAATGATAATAATTAGCAAGGAAATGGGGAATCACGAAGAGCACTTAAACAAAAGGCAGCGGGGGTGATCGAGCCTTATTACTTATCAGCAATGAGGGCGGAAATAGTAAGATTAGCTAATCAGATGGATAAAAAGACAATGCACCATGCACAACAGATGCAATATGTGCAACATATGTCTACTTGCTGCGAGTTATGTGGTGAAGGTCACACAAGTGACATATGTCCCGTGAATCCTGAATCAATTTACTACGTGGGGCAACAAGCTAGAGGGCTGATGAATCAATATGCTCAATATGGTAACAAATACAATCCGAACTAGAGGAATCATCCTAACTTCTCTTGGGGTGGAAATCAGAATATCAAGCCTCAAGCGAATTACAATCATCCACCTCAACCCCCACAGCAAGTAGAAGAGACTTTGACTGACATAATGAAAAAGCTCTTGATAGGCAATCAACAATTGCGCACAGAATTCAGAAATCTAGAGAGGCAGTTTGGGAAAATGGCCAACAATCATAATACTAGACCTGTTGGAGCTCTCCCGAGTGATACTGAACCTTATCCTAAGGCTCAAGTACATGCAGTTACCTTGAGAAATGGAAGAGAATTAGAAGAAGTTCCAGAGAAAAAGAAGTATACAGCTAGACCTGAAGCAGAATTAGTTCCTAAGCCCGTTGAGGAGAATAAGAAAGAAAAGCCAAAAATTGTGACAAGGCCACCACCTCCGTTTCAACAGAGACTGCAAAAGCAAAAAGATGATGCTATGTACAAGAAATTCTTAGATATTTTGAGCCAAGTGCATGTGAATTCACCTTTGGTGGAAATTTTGTAGGAAGTGCCTAAGTACGCAAGGTATCTCAGAGATATTGTGGCAAATAAGCGAAGACATACGGAGTTTGAAACAGTTGCACTTACTTAAAAGTGTAGTGCTAGAGTTCAAAGTAAACTCCCTCCTAAGTTGAAGGATCCTGGGTGTTTCACAATTCCTCTGTCTCTTGGAAAACAAGAAGTTGGTAGAGCCCTGTGCGATTTAGGGGCTAGTATAAATTTGATGACATCCTCTTTGTTCAAGCAACTCGGATTGGGGGTGCTTAGACCTACTACAAGCACTTTGCAATTGGATGATAGGTCTAGTTATGCCAGAAGGAATTATCGAGGATGTGTTAGTTCGAGTAGGAAAGTTTTCTTCCTACTGATTTTTGTTCTTGATTACGAGGCAGATGAGGAAGTACCCATTATTTTGGGGCGACCATTCTTAGCTACTGGTGGAGAACTTATTGATGTTAGGGAAGGAAAGTTGAAGATGAGAGTTGGAAATGAGGAAATTACTTTTAATGTGTACAAGGCACTTAAGCTCCCTAAGCATTATGAGGACTTGTGCATGATTACTGCGGTAGAACTGAAGGGGATAGAGCAGAGTCCTGATGTGAATTATAGTGATTCGGATAGGACGAATGAGTTGGATGAGGGTGTTGCAAGGTGAGTGTGTAAGGATGAATGAGAAAAGAGCCAGAGATGAAAGAGGAGATCTTCTGAGAGAGTGTAAAAAGGCTAGGCTTAATGGGAGAAAGAAGAAGAGAAAGCGCCCAGCCTGAGCAGGGTAGAAGTGTCGTGCCGCGACGTTACGTCAGGCGCTTATTGGGAGGCAACCCATCTTTACTTCTTTCTTTTATTTTTATTTTTATCTTATTATTGTTGTAGTGTTGATTTTCTTTTGTAGGATTACAAGAATTGGAAGCAAAGTCATTGGAAGAGTGAAAAGCGTGTTAGATGGTGAGGACTAAGTGTGGGGTGCCCGCATAAAGGACTATGCCTGGGGGAAGTCTAAGTACCCGTGAGCTGCTATTGCTTCGGCCTTTGGATTTTCAGGGAGTTTCTTGTCCAGCCTTGTTATTGTTTTGCTTTATTTGTGCATTGGGGACACTGCACTCTTTTAAGTATGGGGTGGGAGAATTCTCTAGATGAGTAGTAGGATGTAGAAAATATGTTAACTTCTTATTTGTGATTTCGTAGTTGTGTAATAGTTTTGTAGTATTTTAGTAGCTATGAAAGAAAAAAATCGAAAAAAAATAAATAGAATGACTCTTCTCGACGATGGATCTCCTAGACAGTTTTCTTGAGGGATTTAAGTCTATAGAATAAGGACAAAAAGATTTTCTTTGTAGGTAGTGTAGTAATTCCCCATTGGTTTTTCTTTGTGCCACGGTTCTTTTCCAAGGGTTTTGTTTGAACCGGGTGTAGGTAGTTTTATTTTTTTAGGAGAGGAGCCATGGTGATGTGAATTGAATTGAAGCAATATCTCTTGACTTTGTTATGCTTTGAGAATAGTAAGTACTTTGGTTGTGATGCTTAGGTCAGTTTTTGACTCTTGTATAAGTACCTTAAATTGTATAATCTTAAATTTGCTTAACTGCTTTGACTAGAGTGTCTTGATGAGTCCAATCCTGAGTGAGTTATGTGCCATGCGTGTGTGAGGTTTGTATGTTATTCTGTGCATTGCATTTGATGTCTAGAACTTGCCACGTGTGTTTGCAAAGAAAAATAGTAGTTTTGTTCAATCTTGGAAGTGATAAAGGCGTTTCTTTGTTGAGCCAAATATATATAGTTTACCCGCCTAATTTTAATGTATCGTAGTTAACCCCGTTGAGCCTGTAATCCTATTTTTTGGAAAGCACAATACAAGCCTTACCCATTTGTTTGAATTAATCATCTATTTGAACCTTTTCACCTCTCATGAGCACTTGAATTGTTATGAACCGTGTAAAAGTTAAACTGTGGAGCGGTTGGTGTGGCTTTTGAGTGAAACTAATGAAATAAGGAGAAAGGTGCATTGTTTTGGAAAAAGTAAGAGCCACTTGAATTGAAAAAAGATGAAAAAAAAAATAGTTGTATTGCTGTGAAAAATATTCCGTGATAGTGGTGACTATTGATGTAATTGTGCTTAAAGAAATATGGAGTTAATATACATTTATGTGAATGTGGAGTTATGGTTTGAAATAAGTATGGGTTTGAATGTTAAAGTATATGTATTAAAGTGCTTAGGGAGGTGTAGTCACTCATATCCAATGTATCCTACCCGACCCGCAGCCTACATTACAACCAATGAAAGTCCTACTTGATCCTAGACTGAATGAGCTTGATTAGTCGAGTATTACACTACGCGAAAGCCTATGGTGCATCATTTGTAGCATATGAATGTTATTTCTGAGAGTGAGTGAATTCCTTCTATCTTGAGTTCCTAATTGATCTTAAGTTTTATTGTGTGTTGGAATACTCTCTTTTGTTGCGTGAGGGCACTTGATTCATGAAGGAAAGATAATGTCATTGACCTCTATGTTAGAGTAAGTTAGTGAATTGTGAAATAATGCATGGTACTTGTGAGTCAAATCTTGATGTGAAGATGTTACACCCTTGTGCTTAGTCTATTTTAAAGATTCTTAGTATAATGAGTTAAGGAAATTTCTTAATAGGTTGTGTCTATAAGTGTAGTTTGATTGCTTGAGGACGAGCAATGTTTAAGTGTGGGGTATTGATGTGTGGCTATAATTCATGGTTTAGCACATTATGTGCCTTGCATTTTACATGATTTAATGACAAACTACACTTTATTTGCGCGTAATGGAGTCTATTTTATGTGCAGGTGAATTGGAGATGAAAGTAGAGCAAAAGGGATACTTAAACGTTCAAAGTGTGTGAGAATAGTGAAAGGAGAGGCCAGGCAAAAGCCAACTCAACCAGGCTTTAGCCTAGCAAGGCCATCCATAGGCCAGGCTGAACCAGGCTTTAGCCTGGCGAGGCCAGCCAAAGGCCAGGCTGAACTAGGCTTTAGACTGGCGAGGCCAGCCAAAGTCCAGGTCCAGTCCGAGTTTTGAAGACTTTATTTGTTTCTCGGCTTGACTAGAATTTAACCTACACATTTAGGTCTTGTCCTAAGCATATAAATAGACCTAAAAACGCCACTTTGAAGGGGGTTTTTGCGACCGGAGGCAAGAACATCACGTGCACAACTTTTGGAAGAGAAAATCATAGAGTTCTTCATTCCTTTTTCTTTTCTTTGTAATTTGTTTATGCAAAATACTTGAAAACTTGTTACTACGAACATGAGTGGCTAAGCACACTACGCTCTAGGGTTGTGGTTGACATGATTACTAATATTTAATAATTACATCTTCGTCAATTCGGATTATCTTCTTGTCGTTGTTTCTCTAATTCTGTGCATAATTGCTTAATTGTCTGGCCAGCAGTTGAGTTCTATTTACTATCTATGCTATGCTTGGGAAAGTTGTGTTTAGATTAGAGTAGAATTAGAGAGAGCTTGTTTCTGAACCCGTGGTTCGGGGGAAGATTTCGCGGTTAGGATAGGAATATACCTAACAGTCTTGCCTAATTGAATACCGTATTATGTTCGCTCATGATAGACTCAATACCATAGGAATATAGGGTTGATATATTGTGGGCAAGCGAATAGTATTGTCGGAACATGCTATTCATATAAAAGATCCGGTTAATTAGCAACCATAGATAATCTGCATTAACGAGTGTGATTATTGAACTTAATATGATTGATAAACCAACCACAACCCTGGAATTTTCATCTCCTCTGTAGTAGAATCTCGTCATACAAAATCGCATTCTTGATAATTTAGTTGTTATTTGTTTAATTTCCGCAATAGTAGATTAATAGAAAAATATCACTCTTAAATATCTTGGATCATTAATTGATTTTAGATTACTTATTTAACGATCAATCTGAGTCTCTGTGGGTTCGACATCCGACTTTCGAGTCACTTTATTACTTGACGACCACGTATACTTGCGTGTGTGTTCTGTCCCAACAAGACACCGAGCTACAAACCCAACTATATCTATCATCATTCTCCTCCACCAATAGTGTTGTCTCAAATCCTGATTCATCTTCGCGGCACCTGGATAGATGGAATACCGCGAACTATGGGCCTCCTCTAGAATCAACTCCCGTGGCCCATCCACATTGGGCACACATATCCGGCCCTGTATCCTCAATACCCCGTCATCACCAATAGTCACATCTCTAGCATCATCATGCAGAACCTTTTCCTTCAGGACAAGCAAATGAGGATCATCATACTGGCACTCTCTGATAGGATCAAACAAGGAAGACCGAAAAACCACACAAGCTAGGACCCGACTGGGCTCCGAAATATCCAATCTTACAAACCGATTGGCCAAGGCCTGAACATCAACTGCGAGTGGTCTCTCACCAATAGGAAGGAATGCAAGACTACCCATACTCACTGCCTTTCTACTCAAGGCATCGACCGCTACATTGGCCTTCCCCGGATGGTACAAGATAGTAATATCATAGTCCTTTAGCAGCTCCAACCATCTCCACTGCCTCAAATTGAGATCCTTCTGTTTGAACAAGTGTTGGAGGCTATGATGATCAGTAAACACCTCACAAGACATGCCATACAGATAATTCCTCGAAATCTTCAACGCGTGAACAATGGCAGCCAACTCTTGATCATGAACAGGGTAGTTCTTCTCATTGGGCTTCAACTGACGAAAAGCATAAGCAATAACTCTATCCTCCTACATCAACACACATCCAATTCCCACTCTTGAAGCATCACAATACACTGTGTATGAACCTGAAGCTGATGGCAAAACTAACACTGGAGCTGTGGTCAAGGCAGTCTTGAGCTTTTGAAAGCTCGCCTCACACTCATCCGACCACATGAAAGGCGCACCCTTTTGAGTCAACTTGGTCAAGGGTGATGCAATAGATGAAAATCCCTAAACAAACCGACGGCGATAACCCGCCAAACCAAGAAAACTCTGAATCTCTGTAGCCGAGGACGGCTTGGGCCAACTCTGGACCGCCTCTATCTTCTTCGGATCAACTTGAATACCCTCACTGGACAACACGTGCCCCAAGAATGCCACTAAGCTGAGCCAAAACTCACACTTGGAGAACTTAGCATAAAGTTTCTCCTCCCTCAACCGCTATAACATAATCCGCAAATGTTGGGCATGCTCCTCCTGGCTACAAGAGTGCACCAGGATATCGTTAATGAATACAATAAAAAACTAGTCGAGATATGGCTAGAACACACTGTTCATCAGATGCATGAACGCTGCTGGGGCATTAGTCAGCCCAAAAGACATCACAAGGAACTCATAATGACAGTATCGGGTCCTGAAAGCTATCTTAAGAATGTCTGAGCCCCTAATCTTTGATTGGTGTTACCCTGACCTGAGATAAATCTTGGAGAACACCCTCGCTCCCTGAAGTTGGTCAATAAATCATCAATACGAGGCAAAGGATACTTGTTCTTGATGGTGACTTTGTTCAACTGCCTGTAATCAATGCACATTCTCGTAGTGCCATCCTTCTTGTTCACAAATAGAACTGGTGCACCCCAAGGTGACACACTAGTCCGAATAAACCCCTTATTGAGGAGTTCCTAAAGTTGCTCCTTCAATTCCTTTAACTCCGCTGGTGCCATACGATACGGTGGAATAGAAATGGGCTAAGTGCTCGGCACCAGATCAATATCGAAGTTAATATCCCTGTCCGGCAGCATGCCCGACAGGTCTACAAGAAACAAATCTAGAAAATCTCGTACCACGGGAACTGAATCGATAGTAGGAGCCTCTGTACTGACATCCCTAACAAAGGCCAAATAAGAAAGAAAACCCTTCCCAACCACCCGCTGGGCCTTCAAGAATGAAATCACTCTACTGGGGACATAATCCAATGAACCTCGCCACTCAATCCGTGGCAACCCCGGCATTGCCAACGTCACCTTCTTAGCGTGACAGTCCAGAATAGCATGACACGGAGACAACCAATCCATGCCCAATGTCACATCAAAGTCAACCATACTAAGCAGCAACATATCCACTATAGTCTCTAGTCCCCCAATAGTCACTACACACGACCAATATACACGGTCCACAACAATAGTATCGCCCACCAGTGTAGATACATGAACAGATTAAACAAGAGACTCGTGGAGCGTATCCAAATAATGAGAAAAATACCACAACACATATGAAAAATTGGAACCAAGATCAAAATATACAGAGGCATCCCTGTGGAAGACTGAGATAATACTTGTGATCACAACATCTGAAGCAATAGCATCGGGTCTAGCAGGGAGTACATAGAAACGGGCCTGACTGCCACCTGATCGGCCTCCCCCTCTAGGGCGACCCCAAGCTGACTGACCTCCACCCCCTACTGGCTGGGCGGGTGGTGAAGTAACTGGTGCTGAATTCGAAGGCTAGCCCTTCTACTGCTGAGCTGGACCTCCCACTACGCGGGGACACTACCTCCTAATATGAAAAACTCTCCACACTCGTAGCAACTCCGCGGTGCTGGTGGTGGCGACTGAAGGGAGCCCCGAGCACCAGGATAACTGGTAGAAGAACCTTGCACGGATAAACCATGAGCTGATGGTGCGTGAGTCGAACTCTGAGTTGGGAAGGCACTGAGATATGAGTGGCCCAGATGTGAACTGTGAGAACCATGGCCAGAAATGCATCACGGTGTGCTGGGCGAGTCGTCTGAACATGCCTGAAAGGACGACCTCTGCCGTGGTGGAACTAACCTTCAGAAGGAACACCACCAAAACTATCTGATCCCCGAGGCTTCTTGGCCTCCCTATTAGCCCGCTCCTGGTGGCGAACAGACTCTATCTCCCGAGCAATGTCAACAACCTCCTCAAAGGTAGCACCGGTCACCCTCTCTTTAGTAATAAGAATCCGTAGCTGATATGCGAGGCCATCCACGAACCTCCTGATCCTCTACCTGTCTATGCGAACCAACCAAATAGCAAGACGAGCTAACTCAGAAAATCTCATCTCGTACTACGTCATAGTCATATCATCCTGACGCAACTGCTTGAACTGTCTGCACAGCTCCTCTCTGCGAGACAGCGGTACATACTTCTCCAGAAAGAGAACGGAGAACTGCTGCCATGTAAGGGACGTTGCACCAATCGGCCTACGCCTCTCATAAGGCTCCCACCAAGTGAAGGCATCTCTAGTGAACTGAAATGTAATGAACGAGACCCCACTGGTCTCCAGAATACCTGTTGTATGGAGAATCCGCTGACACTTGTCCAAGAAACCCTAAGCATCCTCACCCTTTGCACCACTGAAAGATAGAGGCTGGAGTCTCCGTAACCTCTCCCATCTACACTGCTCATTGTTGATACCCAATTTTTTCCCTGCATATTTTCACATATACAAAGTACTTTCAAAATAACATATATATGCATATATAAGCATGCCTAAGGTTTTTAGTATTTTTTCCCAACTTTTTAAAGATTATTTAAATCAATTTATTGTCCATTTTAGCAGTACAAAATCAGTAATTATTCCCAAAATCCTCAATTTTGGTGAATAATTTATTTTATTCCCATGTTTATACAAAAATAAAGTTAAGGTAATTTTTTATACATTTTTTACAAATTTATTTGGTATTTTAAAGCTAAATTGCATATAATTGCAATTCTAGCCTATTTAAAGTTTGATAGCATTTTAATTATAAAAATTTGTTCCAGTATTTTTAAATTAATATTTGTGTGTTATTAACTGACTCAGTAATATTAGTTTGCTTTTAAAATCATTTTACTATTTTTTTTATAAAAATAAAAGGGAAAACTGGCTATTTAACATTTAGCCTCATTTCGTTGCAATATAGCCTATTTACATTTCAATTTTAGCCATCAATTGACCCAATCCTAGCCCCAATTGGACCGGCCCAATTTCAATTTTACCCAGCCCCTTAACACGTTTATTTAACCTGCCCGGCCTTTCTTTCAATCCAGGCCGTTGATCATTTTGATCAACGGCCAGGATCGTCCCTTGCCATTTTTAATTT